AAAAACTAGAAGCACTCGGAGTGTCAAACCTCTGCCAAGGCCATTTTCCCTCATCTTGTAATAGAGTTAATGTGCAAAAGGAGAGATGGAAACACATTAGCCGCATAAGTTCTGACATAGCAAACATTTAAGCAGGTAGTATGCACAGAATTTCTTCCTGGTGGAGTCCAATGTGAAAAAAAAAAAAAGTCAGACTCGTCACCGAACGTTATTCATCCTCAAACTGGATGAAGCTCCTAAGTTTTAATCAGTCACATTCCACAGTGTAAACTCTTGTTTTATCCCATTTTATGAGATTTTATTGGTTTGACTCTCTTTATAAAGTGCTTCCTGCTATAGTCGGCTCATGAAGCGAGTGGGTTTTTTGTGGTTTTTTTTTGTTTTGTTTTGTTTTTGTTTGTTTGTTTTAAGTGAGTGACTGAAGAGAAATACAGCATCTGAGCGCTTTCAGCACAAACACTCCCACGAACTTCTGAGCAATCACACAATAAAGTTCTTACGTGGAGGGGGTACCTCACATGGTTGATCAGCTGTTCCGGACAGTCCAGCTTCGGCTCGGCTGCAGCAGAACCCTCCCCCCGCTGCCGGTGTGTTCTGTTATTCCCGTAACGTGAATAGAATCACATTCCTTTTTCTACATCTCCATACARCATGTAACATCGCCAGAAGTAACTGATAACAGAACTAGATACCACATAGAGGTAACATAATGACCCCCGCACGCACAAATGCACCAGAACTCAGAAGTCTTTATTCCGAATAAATGGCATGCTACTAGATGCATCCCAAAATGGTAGTGGTTTGGGTAGGGGTCTTTTTGTGTGTGTGGGTGTGTGTGTGTGTGTGTGTGTGTGTGTGTGGGAGGGGGGGGGGCATTTGTTGACCTGTTGGACAGCCCCTCATCAGAGCTAAACAACCAAAGAAATCTGAAGCTCCTATGTTTAATTGGTTTTGAGCTATAACCATGGATAGAGCTTCATCAGAGCTAAACAACAAAAGAAATCTGAAGCTTCTATGTTGAACAGTTTCCGAGTTATAAGCATTTTTGCATGTCCAGACACCCCCTTGAAAGGAGGCCCCTCCTCAAATATGGGGTCTATCGTAAAACCTTTGGTTGGTGCAGTGTAGGTCAGACTCATCTACAGTCCTGCCAAATTTCATGTTGATCGGTGCAGCCATTTTTGTGCTACGGTTGACCAAACATCACTGGGGAAAAAAACGTACAAAAAACAATATGACTCCCACCTACGCTTCGCGTGCGGGGGTCACAACTGTCCTGACAGTAGACATCGTGGGATGTATAGTCCCAGTGAGTTTGCGACTTGTACTTCCTGTTTCCTGCAGGCACGCGTCTGACGTAATGACACTTTGCATAGCCTGGCAGATTCGCTCGAATTTAAAGAAAATAAATCCTGTATCCGCATCGTGATCCGAAACATCACCAAAATTTAATGGTGTGTTCCTCGGGCCAGTACCCATAAGTTTTAAAAATGTCATGACAATCCATCCACTAGTTTTTGAGTAATTTTGTCCACAGACAGACAGACAGACAGACAGACAGACAGATGCGACCGAAAACGTTACCTCCCCCCTTGGCAGAGGTAATCACCAGACGTACACCTAATGCTGATTAACATTTGGAGTTAATCTAATTCAAGATGATGACCCCAGTTAATTACAGAAGTTAATCAGTTGCATCTGGACATCCAAATATTATTTCCTAAAAGTTTCATTCCAGTGGGTCACGAGATATTTTGCTAACAGAGACACGAACACATGCTTATACACAGGAAAACATTATTACCCGCCCTCGCTTAATGGTGGCAGAGGAAGGAATGACTGCAGACTTGGCACCTGGTATTCCAAGGCAGTCTCCCATCCAAATGTTAACCAGGCCTGGCAGGTGCTGGAGTAACCGTTCCCTCAGAAGAAGCTCAGAGCACTGTGTGTTTCTAACTTTGTGTCCTTCATCCATGGGACGCGAAGGTTTGAATAAAGACCAGTGTCTTTTTGGGGAGAGCAATGGGCCCACTCACGAGGCCTCCGCTCATGTGGATTCTTTATCCATCCCCACTCACCATACCATACCGACCGTTCCCTCAAAACAAAACATTTTAATACAGTCTTTTTTACACTTCAGCAGTCTCTCTAGTGTATCTGATACTCCTCTATCTTAGACTTCACTATAAGCTGTTCTGGTTTGGTTCGCTGAGAGATCCACTGCAAGATCAGGGCCACTACAATCGAAACCCACAGAAGTGGAAAAATGCTTCATGCGCGGCTAAGCAAATCTCATGGTTGTGTGTGTGTGTGTGTGTGTGTGGGGGGGGGGGGGGGGGCTGCAATCTTTGAGTAAAACAGAGAAATTGACAGTGTTCTTCCGACGTAAAATTTCTTAAAAGTGGAAAGTTTGAGCTTTTCTGTTGACGGATCATGGATTCATCAGTGCTGAAACGTGCTGACCCTTCGACCTTAGAGTGCTCAGACTTTCTATTTAAAGCAATCAGCAAAACAATATTTTTAATAGGATTATCTTAAGGATGCACAACTGGAATTAGATGTGTAAGATGTTAGAGATTGTTCATTTGAGTTTCTACGCTCACTGAAATCCATCTCTTGAGACCTGCTTAGTCAACACTCTTAACAAACATCCCTTAATGAAACACTTGCTCCCTTTAACAGAACACTGTGTAGCAGATTATGCTGAGTTTTGTAAAATATATATATATTTTTTTTAAAAGGTAATTTCCTCTGTTTTGCTTCAGCCTAATGTGGTGTTCTATTTTTGTACAATCATGACTCAAGAAAGTTGATAAAAATAGCAAGCATCAGTTTATTAACAGTTTGTCTCGGATCAGGGCATCCACACAACGTGACACTTGGAAAGTTCCAAAGTCAAATTTGTTGCACATGTTCACAGAGCCGTGTTGCTCTGCCTCCTGCTTCGTGGTTTATAATTAATTAAGTTTGTGTGCAGAGGGGAAGAGGTCAGGCACCGTTTTATGCCTTTATAGGTATGTGGCTAAGCGGCGAGCTCTCAGTGTCACATTCCAACTCACAGCACGATTACGTGGTAATATTGATAAGGTTACCAAGCAGTGTAATATTATGTTTGGTTCCTCTGGGCTGAACAGTTTCCACACCGATGGCTTGTCTTGAATAATAATTAGATAACATGAGTGACCTGAGTGCTTTGAGATAAGCTTCATCAGACAGACAGACAAACAGACAACACCCCATTCAGTAGCCGTCGAACATAGAAGCCCTTTAATATTTGTTGCTCCTTTGAATAATTGTACATTTTAGGAAGAAAAGTGGCAACTAATGCTGAGTCAAAATAAGGCAACAAACTGAGATGGTCTTTTGTTTTGTTTTTTGCATACATGGGTTACTTTTAAAATTAATTTATTATAAAAGTATCCAAAGAAAATTAATTAATTTCATCTTAAAGTCTCTTGAAACCCCATAAAGCCCCACTCTGCACAGACGTTCTAGGTCAGAATTTATTATGCTGTCCAACTGAAATACAGAAAAAAATTACAAAACAAATATCTGAGCTATACTGAGACAGAACTTGATTTGTTCTTCCAAGGATCCTGAGTGTTTATCTGACAGCAACACTACTCAACAACAAAGCACAAAATGATAAAACCTGGAACAATGATGGGAATTTTGCTAAATTTAAAAAAGCCATTGATACAAATTTTGTTTTTTTGTTGCAAAGTCAAACAGTTTTTATGCATTTATATACAGAAATCTATAGTGTTTTTAAGGTAGCCATAGGTTATCATTTTAGTTATTTTGCTAACAAGCACAAAAAAATGAAATACGTACTAGGTGGTTGTGGTCGCAAAAGCAGAAACACGTTGGAATGATGCCAGAAGAGTCTGCGTATATGATAATCAAATATGGTTTAATTATGAGCAACAAACAAACAGAACTGAATCAGGAAGTTCTGCATGCTTGCGACTGAACGTGTCAGCAGAATACAGCCAATAATATACATCGTGTCAACACCATGTGACAGTTTACAACCAATCACAGATTGCCAAATGTACTGTCCAGCCTATCACAAGACTCACACCCAAAGAGTATGTTAGAGTTCAGTCCAATGTGGAGTCGTCCGGAGGTATCAGAAAGATAAGAGTGATGGACAGTGTCAAGGGGAAACAGATATAAATAATTAGACCACGACAGTGGTTTATTTATTTTATTATTTTTAAGATGTGGTGTATGTAGTCTGTTTTTAGTTCCAGATCCTCAACAAGGACCTTTGTTTAAGCTGAAAAAATCTAAAAGGTTTTAATATTTGTTTTGGGCCAACCCCTGTATTGACATATGGCATCAGGGCTCCAGGAATGTCATAATAAAAGACATAGACAGCACTGCCCAACAATGTACCTTTCTTATCACTTTGGCAGCTCTCGTTCTCACACTGCAGAGCTCACTGACTGACATATGCTGAAAAAGCCCTGACACAAACCGCCTAAAGCTGCTCCTTTTTTCCTTCTAACTTATCATTAGATACACATTCTTTACATATCTTTTGAAAAATGAGGATTGCACAAGGTGAGAATAATGGCTCATTTTCCAGCTTATCTGGCAATAAGTGGTGCCCTCAAACGTTTACTGCTCACTGGAAAAAAAAACATTATCATTTTACACCATGGAGAAGTTTCATCTTTGGCTGAGAACACAAAAACACACCATAGAAATAATCTATTTTTAACAAAAGAAGAAATTTACTTTGGCACAGACCAATTCCCTCTCATGAAAGTTGCTTGTAAAGTTTATTTTCTCACAACAGTTAAGCTTACTTTACTCAAGAGAAGATTTTATTTCATCCTGATTTTGTGGAGTGCTTGCCCTGGATGTTTTGATGATTTGAAACAGCTGATTTCAATAAATGCTCAAAGCAACACTGATGATGAAATGTCTATTTATTTCAGGTGTGCAAATCAGGGCCAACCAATTCCTTCAGAGCAGACGTCTGTCTCAATAGGAGGGGTAAGTTGTGAAATTCCTTCCCTACTGTGTTAAAAAGTCTCAAAAATACAAAAGACTTGTATTAAAATTAGTTTCCCCATCCACCAATGACAGGAAATGTAATTTTGTTTTATCCTATGTGATTTATTATAGTTTAAATACCTAATTTAGACTGTTTAATTCTGACCTTTTAAAACACCAGTATTTTCGAAGTCATTTATATTATTTGCAGCTTTTTTTCTTTAGTCTGTTTTTTTTATTTGTTTTAACAATAATTAACCTTGAACGATAATTTTTTTGATAATTCTGCTATAAAGCAAAGAAAAGAGGTAGTATTGGAGCAACTTCCCTTTTGAGTTTACCTTGGTTTATGGCTTTTTTTATGATCTATGATCCCTGATCTCATCTGTCATTATTTACTGAAACCACTGCAGTATTTGACCCTTTCATGCCAAGTCCAGCCCTCTTCATGTCTTTTGGCCTCATTTTCCCTCCCACTGAGGTTACTTGGCTGCTTTAGTAGTAAATGCCTACAACCACCTGCCCTGTTCTCAGTGCAGAACTGATGGATAATTCTGTGTCAATTTAACTGTTTTCACAGAAAGGTTCTTAAACAGCTGTTTATCAGTCTTCAACTTGGAGTGTCAAAGCGGCCAGAAGGCTGCTTTTCAAAGATCAGTCATGAAGGAAGACATTCCTGCCGGAATGTTGTTCAGAATGGCTCTGGTCTTTTTGGCTCTTTCAGGGATGCTGTGCAGGTGGGTTTTAAYGGTAGTTAAAATTTCTGATTGCTTCAATTTATTGGTTAGATTTTGAAGGATGCCTTTTTTTCAATATTCAAACTATTTTTTCATTTCAGAGCTGAGAAAGACTTGTTATCAGCTACTTTGCCAAAGTGGGGTGCTACTTCAGGTATGGGAAGATGGACAAACATTTGAAACATTCTAACTAGGAAATATTTGATTGTATTTTTTTCCCTGATTTATTTTGTTCTATAGAATATGTTGCAGAGTGCTACTCGAATAATCATGTGRATTTAACTTGTGACTGGACCAGAAGCCAAAAATTGGGTACAGAATGCATTTTTTTTTTTTTTTTGGTTTTTATTTTTCATTTATTTTTTTATATTTTTTAACAGTATGGGAGAACTACATTTTCTTGAATGTTAATATAGGTTCTATGCTGGCTGTGACTAAATCTTTCATAATCTTGCAACATGGTGCTACATATATAACAACTTGATACCTCTAAAGGGAAACACTGTCATTGCTTCCCACCCCACCTTGTGTCTCAGCTCCAGAGAATGTTAATCTGAATGTCTTGATGAGCCATCCACTGCAATTCTATGGCGAGGCCTGTTTGGAGTTCTGGTACCTGGCACCAGYTGCATCTAATGGTTCTGAGCTTCATGTTCTGCTGAAAACCAACACTACTTTGCTGGAGCTGTGGACCTCTCCTGCCCTCCCTAGAAAAGCATGGAGACAAGTGACTGTGTCCCTGAATATTAGTGAACCTGGCACTCAGGTGAAATAAAACTCAAAGATTAATTTGTACTGGATGAAGAAATTGAAATATTCTAGTAATTATTAAATATTTTTAGATTGTGTTTGAAGCTATCCAACCAGTGTCTGTAGACCTAACAACAATAAAACAGATTGGTGTAAAAAGGAGCTCATGTGGTAAGTACTCCATCCTAATTTGCCTGTATCAAGTAAATCAAAATCTGTTTATAGACAGAGGTGTAAAGTACTGAAGTATACAAATATTTTAATTAGAGATTTAGGTTATTCTATACTGGAGTAATTACTTTTCAGCCAGTTTCTTAAACTTTTCATGTAATTATCTATACTTTCTACACTTTTTGCATTAAAAATTATATTTAATTCTTATTTCAGTTTGACTTGTGTTCATTGTTCAGGAGAAACTATTCCCCATTTTTTAACTTTAAATGCAATACTTTAAAGCATATTAAACTTTTTTTTTTAATTTAGAAAATGTATCAAATGCAGATAAGATSATTATTTGGATATTAAAGAACACTTTAAAAATGTTGTTCGAGACTTGAGTAAACAATTAAACTTTTCATCCTAACAGAAAAGCAGTGTGACTCAAACAYGGAGTTGTGGACAGATGACTCAACACGCTGCCTCTGCTCTGCTGGCCTGCTCTACTGCTTCTACTCCCAGTGCCCTCAAAATCAAATCTGTGGACCCCAAGGAAAAGAAYCTGTGACTTCTATTTCTGGGATTTGCACAATATWTGATCACTCRCACTAYACCACGTTTGATGGGGTGAAATTTGACTTTGTGTCATCCTGCACGTATGTGCTGGCCAAGACTTGCTCACCCACTGAACTCCTGCCAAGGTTCAATGTAAAGGTGGTCAACATGGAGAACAGCAATGGATCTCTGCCAACAATTCAACAGATCATTGTGGACCTTAAGGATATCGAGGTGTCCTTACTGGAAAGTCAGACAGACTGGGTTGCTGTAAGTTACCTTTTGGGAGGAGGGATGGGGGTTGGGGGTCGTGAATTGCTAAGTACTTTAAAGAAAAGTATAATCTAGGTGATTGTTTTCAAAAATGTGTGTTTTTGTTCTGTTCCGTTTTGYTTACCCCTTCAGGTTAATGGTGTCTCAAAGCAGCTTCCACTCATCCTTGATAATGGTGCAGTCCAAATTAAAAGTAATCCTGCTGCTGTAGTACTGGGGACAAGTTTTGGTCTGTCAGTTTCCCTTGACAGTGCTGGAAATGTCCAGATCACAGTTCCATTTGATTACTCTGATAAAATCTGTGGCTTGTGTGGCAACTTCAATCTTCTACGTGGAGATGACTTTCGCAAGCCTKATGGTAGAAATGCTGAGAATCCCTCTGCATTTGCTGAAAGCTGGCAGACTGAGAAGAATTCTTCCTGTGACACAATCCTAGAGTCTCAACAGTGTAGCCCACTGGAAGAGGCCATTTATGGTACAGAGTTATATTGTGGACTTCTACATTCTGGCACTGGACCCTTTGCTGATTGCCTAATGGCTCTTGAGGCAGAAAGCTACTTTAGAGCTTGTGTCTCTGGYATGTGCTCTGCAAATGGTGATCAAACAGTGCTATGTGAAGCCATACAAAGCTATGCAGATATCTGCCAAGAGGCTGGAGTTGCTGTATCCTCATGGAGGAATGCAACATTCTGTAGTAAGTATATTTTATTTATTCAAAACTATTAAAAAGATAATTGCAGCAACCTCCCTTAAGTTTCTGTTCTTTTGCCTTCCAGCCCTTGAATGCATTGAAAACAGCCATTATAATTCATGTGCTGTTGACTGTCCTCAAGTGTGCTCTAGTCAAGATTTAACTAGTCCCTGTGAAAACTGTGTTGAAAGATGTGAGTGCAATGCTGGCTTCAAGCTCAGTGGGGGCAGATGTGTCCCAGCAGACCAATGTGGATGCTGGTAYAATGGGAAACACTATGAGGTAAGGATGTGTTAAATTATTTGACAGTTGGGACTTATGCTTACCCCTTGTTTGTTCCTGTCTCTGCAGAAAGGTGAAACACTGGTGAAGGGAAACTGTGAGCAACAGTGCCAATGCATGGGTGATGATGCCATACAGTGCATGGCTATGCATTGCAAAAACAATGAGATTTGTAAGGAAAAGGATGGCATCAAAGGCTGCTTTGCCTTCAAACCTGCCACTTGCAGTGTGTATGGTGACCCACATTATATCACATTTGATGGCACAGCCTATGCCTTTCAAGGAGGTTGCAGTTATACGCTGAGCACAACATGTGGTGGACAAAGCTTAGTCAAGTTCAGTGTCATTGGATTTAACATGCATCCTGGCACTCAAGACTTCACCAGGTCCAAGCTTGAGGCTGTCTCTCTCCAGGTGGAAAATCTGGACCTAACCCTGAATCAGAGCGGAGAAGTCTATGTAAGTTCATACCTGCATTTCCTTCAACAGAAAAATGGCAATTGTAAAGTTTTTCACATTGATTTGTGTATTGGTAGTCCAATTGAGCAGTGACTGCCAATTTGGTACAAGGTTTGTTCCAGAGTTGGCTATAACAATGTTACCTGTTCTAGCTGCAAAACTTAAGTTTGTTCAGTTTTGTGTTTAAACTGCCACAATACCAACAAGCTTATTTTAAAATTTATAATCCTGTCCTCAGGTGCAGAAAGGCCATGTCACACTCCCCTATTCAGCTACTGGTACATACGGCTCCTTGTGGGTCTACAAAAAAGAAAATTCCATTATTTTGGAGGCTACATTTGGCTTGAAAATGATCATTGATGGGCACAGCAGACTGTTCCTGCAAGTGGATGAGCGCTATAAATATGAACTTTGTGGGCTGTGTGGCACCTACTCCGGAGCACAGTATGATGACTTTGCAATGCCAGGGGGAAAACTTGCTGGTGACTCAT